TTTGACATTGTTATTTCCACTGAGATTTTCATGTTATGAGGTGTTTATGATTCCTGTTTTGCCCGAGGGGCTGCTTACGAGCTATGTTTTGCCCGAGGGGCCGATTATGGTTTTTCATCTCTTTTATTATAAATGGTATTGAACCCATACTGAAACTGTCGGAAAGCATTTTCAAATGATTTTTTCCAAAAGGCTGGATTTTAATAAGACGATCGACTCGTATTCTGAATTAGCAGCCTGTGTGCTTATTGATTTATCATGAATGTGTATTCATTGTTTCCTACCGCTCAGTCTTTATTTACTCTTATTACTTACTGGGTTGGAGTACTCATATTACTCCCTGCACCTCGTGTGCAGATTCAGGTATTTCAGAACCCGGTAGCGGGTATTGATTGCTCAGATGTGGAGTCATCATGGTTAGCAAGGTGGTTGCACGACGTTCGCAACACTGTTTCTTCATCTCATTTCCATTTCTGTACTTAGTACACTTGATTGTTTTGTTGATTCAGACCTTGGTAGATGCTCATGAGTAGTGACACCCCGATGTCGGGCTTGTGTAATTATTCAGCATTGTTCTTTTAAATATTCATTATGAGATTAATGATTTATAAATGGTATAAAAACCACTTTTAAATGGAAAATGATTGATTTGGGAATTGTGTCGGCTGACCTTGTCTTCATGAGAGGCGCCATCATGACTGGGTCTGGTTTGGGGTCGTGACAATCGTGATGGCGCATACTCGTGAAAGCTAGGCAAGCCGACAATTTCAGTTTTACCACCATTTTTATTAATCAAATAGAAACTGATATTAGCTAAATAAAATAATTAAAAAATGCGGAAACAATATAACAGTGCCACAACTTAAGTACATAACTACCCCATAGATCTGGTGTCACAATCCACGAATGACTAAGATTTACTATAAATATAATTCTAAAAGAAGTACAACTGTTCTCAAAGTAAAAAAAAATAGCAGAAAACTAAAACGGGGAAAGGGGGACTTCAGGCTCTACGAACACCAGCAGATCTACCTTGGTCTTCCGGGACTGAAGGCAGCTACCTCAAGCTACTCACATGGTCCGGCACCGGAATCTGCACAAAAAGTACAGAGTGTATTATCAGTACAACCGACCCCATGGTAAGTATCGAGCCTAACCTCGGCGAAGTAGTGACGAGGCTAGGATACGACAACCATGTAAACCTGTGTAGTTAATTCATATACGAACAGAAAAATAATAACAGGAAATAACATATAAAGATGGGAAAGAGAACATGTTGCGGGGAATATCAAATTCTAATAGTAATCCAAACAGAGAAGCATATGAACACCATATTTGTATCAATAGAAATAATGAAATAGTAACACGTGCACGACATCACTCTTCGTGTTTTTACTCTCATTCTCACCATAAGAAATAACAGAAACGGCACGACATTACCCTTCATGCATTAACTCGCATAATCATGGCACGACATCACCCTTCATGCATTAACTCTCACAATATCGGCACGACATTACCCTTCATGCATTAACTCGCATAATCATGGCACGACATCACCCTTCATGCATTAACTCTCACAATATCGGCACGACATTACCCTTCGTGCATTAACACTCACAATATCGGCACGACATCATCCTTCGTGTATTAACACACACTCACAATATCATGTACGGCATCACCCTTAATGCTTTACACTCTTTCTCACCCAAACAATAGAAAATAATACATCTTAACAAGGGAATCAACAAGAGAAATAAATACATCCCGGCAAGGGATTCAGCTATAACCAATCTCATTCCAACAGTTACTTCACAAAATAAATCTCAACTTGAGCCCATACTCAACAACGGTCAATTACCACGAAATTTTCATAAGTCTTGTTCAACATTGATAATCATTAATTTAAGCATGGACGGAACATAATAAGAGTCACAACAATCATGGTATAAGACTCATGGGCATGCTCGACACCAACATATAGATACTCGTCATCACACCTATACGTCGTACTAAACACTAACACGTAGCAAATACGACCACAACACCTAATCCCTCAAGCTAAGGTTAGACCAAATACTTACCTCAATTCCACAGACAAAATCAAGCCTAAATTACCGCTTTACCTCTCGTTCCACTTTCAATCCGCTTGTATCTAGTCATAATTTACTTACTAACAACAATAAATACTAAATAAACCAATTCTAATGCATGAATATAGATTTTCCAATATTTTTCCCAAAAAGTCAAAAATCGACGTCGGGCCCGCTTGGTCAAAACTCAAAGTTCAAACCAAAAACCGACTACCCATTCACCCACGAACCCAAATATGCAATTGCTTTTGAAATCCGACCTCAATTTGAGGTCCAAATCCCCAAATTTTGAAATTTCTAATTTCTACCCAAGAACACCCAATTTCCCATGAAAATCCCTAGATTTTGAGATGAAATCATGTAAAAAGATGAAATAGATTGAAGAAAAAGAGTTAAGATTCATTTATCTATGATTTGGGGAAGAACTTGCTCTAGAAAAATCACCCTTAGGAGTTTAGGTTTTGAAATTTTGAATAATGAAGTGAAAATCCCGTTCAAGACCCCTCTTACTCAGTTGCAGATGTCGCATTTGCGACAGGAGCTTCGCAATTGCGAGATAGACTTCACAAATACGAACCTGTTGCAAGGTCTGCTGTTGTCACAATTGCGAACAATTAGTCGCAATTGCGAAGGTTGACCTCATGTTGACTTCACAAATGCGAAGAAGATGTTTGCAATTGTGAACTAATGCTGGCAAGGGGCTTCTTCGCAATTTAAATAAAACCCTTGCAATTGCCAAGCCTGAGAGGCTCGCAATTGCGAAGCTTGACGTCGCAATTGCGAGATCAGAGCCTGCAACAAAGCACCAGTTGCAACAAAAATTTTCCTAAGTCCCAAAACCCTCCGTGGCCTATCCAAAACTCATCCGAGCCCTCGGCTCCAAACCAAACATGCACACAAGTCTATAAACATCATGCAGACTTGCTCGTGTGATCAAATCGCCAAAATAACATCATAAACAAAGAATTTACCACCAATACTCATGAAATTCATAAGATAGTTTAAAATTTCTATTTTCTCAATCAAGGATCCATTTTTTATCAAATCAATTCTGATTCTTACCAAATTTTACAAATTCGACTTAATAATTATTTTAAACCTGTACCAGGCTCCGGAACCAAAATACGGGCCCGATACCATTAAGATCACACACTATTTCATTTCGAAAAGTCCTTATATTTTTTCAGCAAACACTTTTCTTTAAAAAAAAATTTCTCGGGTTAGGGACCTCGGAATTAGATTTTGGGCATACGCCCAAGTTTCATATTTTACTACATACCATATGGGACCGTCAAATCACAGGTCCGGATCCGTTTACCAAAAATATTGACCGAAGTAAACTTTAATCAATTTTAAAGGCCGAAATCAATCTTTTTTTCTTAAATTTCCCATAAAAGCTTTCCAGAAACACGCCCGGACTGCACACGTAAATCGAGAAAAAATGAAATGAGGTTTTCAAGGCCTCAAAATCTGGATTTGGATTCTAAAATACAAGTGACCCTTTGGGTCATCACCGGTGTTGGCTTGCCTAACAGTGGTGTTCGTCGCCATCACGACCTTTAATGAATTTTGGGTCGTGACAGCCACCCCAAATCGTGTTGAGTTTAACAAAAATTATTTCAACCCGCCCAGCACCCGCTCCGCCCCGCATAAGCAAAAACCCGCATCACTCCGCACCCACACTCCCCATTGCCATCCCTATTCGACACATTCATGAGCTTCGATAACTAGAGGCGGATCCAAGATTTAAATTTTATGAGTTCAACTTGTAAGGATTTTAACATTGATCCCATTATATTAAGTTATGGGTTCATATTCACTATTTGACAGAATAGTTCGGGACCCCTCTGAACTTGGCAGCTTTTATTTAGTTTCACCCTAAACTTCACGTGGTCTTTAATACCACCCTAAACTTGGCAATTTTCATAGCCTNTTTTTTTACATTAAAATTATATATTCTTATCTTTTTAGGTCCACCAACTATTTAAATTATTTTTGTGCTAAGATATGTATGAAAAAATACTTGAAACAAAATTATTTGACTATTAATTTTTATTTTGTTAAAGATACTAATATAATCAAGTTACTTTTACATATTTGGTCAGAAAAAGAAGGAATACATAGTTATTACATATTATCATTGCATCTAAAAAATAAAATAAAAAATACGTGTTTGGAACTCTATATATTGGCTAAATAAATTTTTTGTCTATAAATAGTAAAATTTCGACGAAATATTTGCAAATTTGATTCGAAAAAGAAAAATACATAGTTTAAATAAATACTCTTTGCATGAAAATAAAATAAAAATACATAGTACTTTTTCCTTTTGTAGAAAATATATTATTTGAACTTCATTACTTTGGCTAAATTTTCTTTTTATTTGGCTAATATAAATGGAGTTTCAACTAAATTTTGTAGATTTGGACAGGAAAAAAGTTAAGAAATACATAGTTGAAAAATATATTCATTGTATTTAAAAAAAGTACAATTGAGAAAAAATATGCAGTGTATATTAAGAAAAAATAACGAAAAATACAATTGAAAATAATAAATCATTATATTTGATTATGTGTCAATTAATATTTGAAAAATACCCCATCTAGAAGCTAATTTTCAATTTTTCTTCCCTCCCATACGCCTAAAAGAGAGTGTATTCACGTTCTTTGTCACATCAACATCTAGGAGGGTCAAAACTATTAAATTTCTAAGTTCAGGGGTATTAAAAATCACGTAAAATTTAAGGAGAACTAAATAAAAGTTGCTAAGTCTAGGGGGTCCGAATATTTTTGCCATACTATTTTTGCAATTTTAACGAATTTTTACTCTGCTTAGAAAGTTATGAATTCAATTGAATCCATTGGTAACACATTATATCCGCCCTTGTCAATAATCATAATAAAATAACGTTAAAGCATATTTCAACCATATTCAACCACAACGGATTTTATTTAGCATCCAAATAACTAGTTTTTACATCTCATTCCACACGAAGATCAGCTATTTCTTTGTGGTTCAAGATAGTTTTTTGATAGTTGCACTAGGAAAAGATAAGGAATTTGATCTTGACTAGAATTTTAACTAGAGTTTGCTACAGAAAACTTAGCCCGTGAGTGAATATTGCAGCAAAAGCGTTCATTTGAGTTTTGGGCAAAGACAAACCAACCTCTAAATCTCCATCTGAGTCTTTGGACTTGCTGAGGGATATCGTTACGCCATTATTATTGTTAATAGAAACAAACTCTAACTTTTCTAATCTTCCCCAACCAAAATCAGCAGCATATAAATCAAATTTTGGCGATCCAGTAATTGAAAGCGAACGGTTTTGATCTACTGTACCATATTCTTTAAACCAACTACCATTTAGGATCCATTCCTCATCCTTCATCCTTTTCTGTATTGTTTCTCCAATTAATTCCACAGCAATTGTAAAACCTTCCTTTCCTGCTAAGTCAGTATGCCTTGTTCTTGCAACGTACCCGACTATGCAATTCCCGAAATAAGTTTGAGGAATTGGTGGATTGAGTCGCGCTCTGCAATCTGCTGCACATCCGAAGAACTCCACTCCATTCTCGTCTATCTCTTCCCCTGTTGAGGCCTCTGATTTTATTAAGCAAGTCCATATATAAGCACACGTTACTGTGAAAGATGTTACATGAGTTAAGTTCGGTCGTCTTGATAATATTAAATTCTTGAACTTCAAGATGTCATCACGTGATACAATAAAAGTACCACGAACCTTATCAGGAGGAGTCATAGTGTCACACATACTCGCTTTATATTTCTTTATTTCGTCCCATATGGATTTCCCTAGTCCATGAGGGTCTTTAATCACGGACCTATCATAAAACGGAATGAACTCATTCGCTAAGAATTGCTCATCTCCGCCGAATTTGGTAAGCAAAGCCCATGCCCTTATGAACCTTACTATGGTAGCTCCATCACCAACGACGTGATGATTAGTGAAACCAATGGATATGCCATGATTCGGAAAAAGTGTCACTTGTATGGCTAAGACGGGAGCTAATTGGACCCCAGGTGCATCCTTAGGTTCTCTCAATTGAGGAACAAAATGATAAAAATCCTTCAGATTTCGAGGGTGGTTACCAACGAGAAAATCAAAATCCATATCCGTCTCAGAAAAAGTTACAGATAAAGAATTTCCTGTTACATAACACAATTCAGGATAACTGCTACAATCTAATAATGGACAAACAACGTTGCCAGCTAAGGGTAAATAGTGTTTGAGAGCGAGGGAGAGAGAATCTTTAAGAGTAGGAATAATGGTCTGGACGAACTCGGGTTTGGAAATAGGGAATTTGTAGAACAAAATTCGCCGGTTATGGTTGAAAAGTAACCATAGATTATCAAAATATGTGAGAGGAAGTGTGAGCTCAGCTGCACTGCCGGGAGGTGGCGCAACTTGACATTGCTCAATCAGAGAAGCCATTAGTGTAACGTTTTTGGTTAAGAATACACAATGGTAATTGGCTTTTCAATATAAAGAATTTCAAGAAGTTACTTCACACATAAAGTGATACAAGTAAAAAGTTGGGTCCGTGACTCTGACATGTACATCGACAACACACCAATCGCCATTGCATATATTGTATGGCCAATATGGATTTGGAATATCACACGTTTCATTTTAAAGTTAATATAATAGCCCCATTTGGTCATTACGATTATTTCATTACTTTAAATTGAACTTCAAGTATAAATTAATGTTTATTTTAAAATTTGGTTTATTATTTCTACTCCAACGTAAAATAGAGAATTTGAAGTTGAAAAATTAATTTGAATAATACTTTCAAGTGAAATTCAAGTTTTACTTACAAAATTTCAAACGTTTTTTCCACAGTAAAATTGATGTTTAAACTGTTAACAAATACTTTTTTTTATTTATGGAAAGGCCCAAATAAGTCTTTAAACTATGCGAAATTGAGCGAATTCGCTCATCGTTAATACTTTGGCATAAACGTGCTCATGTTATTTAATATTTGCTTCAAATGTGCCCTTATTTTAAACGGCCATATATGGAAGGTATATTTTGGTCTTATGCGCCTTCTTTGAGGGCATACTATTAAAGTTCTTAAACTTCTATGTTATTGAGCTATATTGTTTGATTCATGCCTATATAATGGAAATTTATAATGGTAAATCTCCTCAAATCGATTTTTTCCTTCAGTAAATCTTAAATACGAACAAAGAAAAGCAAAATATAGAAAAAACTTCAATTATAATTTCATCAAATTAATGTTCAAACGCCTACAATTATAATTTTATCTATATAAATATAATTAAGTGATTTGTTCCTAGGTGAATCACTTAATCATAGTACATAATACCTCAATCATGGAAAACTTTATCAATGCGTTGGTTGGTGAAAGAGTGAACGTTCAAAAGCAAAGCTGTACGTTGCTGATTGCACAAGACTTTGATTCCCATTTTCAGGGAGTACTGTACGATGTTACTTTGGATTTTGGACCACTCAGTTTTTCTGGTCGTTCTTAGAAGTTGCATTTGGTCCCACCATGTTTCTGTTGTTTTTTCACGTTTTTGTTTTATTTTATCATGTTGGGAATAAAATATATAAACAATAATTTCAATAAATCAATAAAATTTATAAAGATATAATTTAACTTATTATGTAGTAATTTTTTTAAAAAAATTTAACTTTCATATTAAAATACAAGCGAGAAGATGAATTGAATTTAATATCTTATTGAAAATAACAGAAAAATGATATTCTCTCCGTTTCAATTTATGTGAACATATTTCCTTTTTATTCTGTGCCAAAAAAGAATGACCACTTTCCTTATTTAGAAATAATTTACATTTATGCAAAGATTTATAGGCACATAAAATATATATGTCATATTTACACCACAATTTCAAAAGTTTTCGCTCTTTTCTTAAACTCTGTGCCCAATTAAATAAGTTCACATAAATTGAAATTACTCCTAGTAGATTTATGACATATAATAAAAGAACTTCTATGTTTAAACTTTGTACTAATTCAACACCATCCATTTAAAAAAATAATAGGAAAAATGCATAAATACCTCATGTCCTATACCCAAATTTCTAACTACACACTTTACTTTTGAGGGGTTTTTATTACCCCGCCCCAAACTATTATAAAGTGTAATAAACACATCCTTAAAATTGGACAACCAGATTCCTGATAGAGAGTGTTGTTCACGCACTACAAGCTAATAATTCTTTTTTTTTATTCTTCTGTTTGTTTTTATTATATTCTAGTTTCATATACATGGTCGCCGGCAAATGTGAAATTATTCTCCGATTTTAGACCCGGAGAATGTGAATTGGTAAATGGAAATCGTAGTCCAAACCAGAGCAGTACCATTGAGGCGTCGTCGCCAGTAATGGTGGAAAACTCGCTGCCAGCGGTGATGTTAGACTCATCATCGTTGGATCTGGTAATTTATTTAGCAATAGTGTGGATAGATTTTTGTTCTTGAATAATCTGTTTTACGGTTCTCTGATCGCCGGAGGAATCGACAGAGGTGTGCTGCCGGTGAATCATATGTACTATTTGGAAGCTCGCAACGAGAGAGGGTAATTTCTTCATGTAAAAAAAGTTGCAGGAAAAAGGCAGATTTTATTGTCAATGTTAGTGGAGATGGCTCCGACGAGTCGGATTCGTCGTCAGTGAAAAAGAAAAAAGGGACTGAATTTACAAAAAGAACAAAAAATAGTATTAGTCTAAGTTATTGTAATAATTAATTAAGTCTAAAATAATGATATAATTTTCAATTAAAAGTTGTCACTTGTATAAACTAATCAGTTTTAAATTTAAAATTTGCCTCTCACATGCTTTCAAGAGAGTGAAGACACTCTCCTTGTCACGTCATCAATTAAGGGTGTATTTATTACACTTTATAATAGTTTAGGGTAATAAAAATCCCGCATGAGTAAAGTATGTAGTTGAGAATCCGGGTATAGAACATGGGGTAATTATGCATTTTTCCAAAATAATACAATAATAATCGTATTATAGATAAACACTAAATGAAAAAATTAAAATATTGTAGAACAAAAACTAATGTATAAAGAGGAGAATAGATATAATGTGAATCTATCCACATTTTAATTTTATTTGATAAAATTAAATAAATAAATAATACTCAAAAATATTATATTAAACTGTTAATTTATTAAAAATTCATATGTCAATTTAATAATATTAAGTAATGGATAATACAATTAGATAAGCAAGTAATAAAAAAGAAATAAAATATAAATTTGTAGAAAAATCTATAAAAATAAGACTTATTATTAGAATTATGATGAGAAAAGTCGTACATATACACATAAGTAAAATCACAATAAAAAATAGTCATAAATAGGGGTGACAAAATGGTTAAAGGAAAATAGTTAATCACTCATATTATCTATTAAAAATGCATTGGATAATGAACTTTTTAAAAACGGGTCAAATATGGATAAGAACCATATTATCCATTTAGAAAATGGATAACCAATAGGTCTAACTTTTACATTTGTAAAGCCTCAAATTGGGGGTTCCTCAAGTTAGGGAGACTAAGAATTCTCCCAAACGTGATCATATGCAAGAAGTCATGGATAATATAGTTACCGATATTATCTGCCGGTTAATTTATTTTTTGTTCGTATTAAATATGGATCAGATCGGATAATTTACACATTTTTTCATTACCCGTTTCGGCTCGAACTATATCCGATCCGACCCGACCCGCTCATTTACCACTCCTAGTCATAAATGAAGAATACTTTAAAAAAAAAGAATTTCAAGCAATAGTGTGTGTTTGTGTGTGTGTGTGTGTGTGTATATATATATATATATATATATATATATATATATATATATATATATATATATATACTATTAAAAAAGCACGAATATAATGTTGGTTTACAAAAATAACCTTATAATATCAAGAATAATAACTCACAATAAAAGATCATAACCGGAATTGTACCCGTTAGTCATATAATCCTATTAGTTTTAGGACACACTTCTTACGGGAATCCCAGACATTAGCAATACAATTCTATTACTTTTAGGATCCTATTCCTAATTCTTAAAACCTCGAAAATTTTTGCTAAATCAATTTATTTGTAAATATGCTGGTTTGATAATATAGTTAAAGAAAGTTTGTGAATTTGAGGAAACTTAATGGGAATTAACTGAGAAAAAAGGCTAACCAGTACGTAGTCTACTAATCCACAATTTTGGTTTACATTTTAAGTCCAAATCCTAATATCAATTGGAAACAATATATATTACTTATTTTTTGTTTGAGACTTGCCACATTGTCGTGTAATTCTATTATGTTTTAGGAATTTTATGTGCCACATTGCCACATAGACATGTAATGCTTTTACTTTTAGGACATATTTCTTAAAAATATTTATTGTACTAATTTAATTGGAGAACGTATTAAATTGTACGAATCCATTTTTTTTAAAGAAGAGCCAAATACTTCTACATATTAGTCTTTACCTTTGGTCCTGATGTAAAAATACAGGGTAAAATTAAAAAATAACCAGATTTACAAGTAGTAATTGAAAAATAGCCACAGTTTTAAAAATAATTAAAATTTAGCCACTTTTCATGTAAAGATATATCTGAACGAAAATACTGTTCAAAATCCGAAAAACATTCTAGCATAATATACTGGAGTTCCAGTATATTATACTGGACTTCCAGCATAATATACTGGTCCAGCATAATATGCTGGAACTTCATACACAGGTGTTCCAATCTCTAGTATATTATGCTGGAACTTTCAATGAATTTGCAAACGCTGACTATTTTTTAATTACCAGTCCGAAAACTTATTAGCCGGTGCTATTTTTAAAAAAAGACAATATCAAAATTCTGCAAACATTACAATGCTACAAACTTTGCAAAAGGTATTATTTCTTTCTATATTATACTTTTTTTTATTGTACTTATCAACCAAGTTTTTTTGCTTTAGCTTATGTATTTATATGTTATTCCTATGATTGAAAATCAACCGTGTAGGTAATATATTCCTCAATTACCACTTTTTTCCTTCAATTTTATCAACTACAATATTTTTCAAAGAATTTATTCAAGATGATTCATATAAATAGTTATTGGATGTATATATTCAAGAGATAGCTTTATTGAATTCTATCAGTATGAGATCGAAATATTTTTCTCTTTTTTACTTTGGCTTAAATATTATACTCTTATTTAGTTAGTTGTTGATGTGTGTTCGCCTATTAATTAACTTAGTTATTAATGTTCTATCCGTTTAATTAAAGTGATGTACTAGATTAGGCCGACAGGCCTTTCTAGATTATTTGGGTCTTTTTCAAGAAGCTGTTTTTTCTAATAAACATTAGTTATATTTCTTTATGTTATTTATACCATTAAGAAACACGTTTTAGAAAGTTTAGTCATTTACTTTGTCTTAAAATAAAGGGATAAACAATTTTTTACTT